CCACGGCCCGCGCCCCAACTCTGCGCCCCGCGTCCCCGCCCGCCGGAGGGGCCGTGTGACCTCGGGGATCTGCCTTGCCCTCCTAGCCTCAGTTTCCCCATTGTGCACAACGAAATGCACCCCCTTGGCGTCTCTTGGGAAGTAAAAAATGCCTGGAATCCTAAGAAATTCCCCGTGGGGATGGGTGTTAATCCTGCAAAATGTGTGTGCCCCCCTCCAATAAAATCAGACCACTCAATTCGAGAGGAGCCCGCGCTCGACGGCAGACCCAAGGCCGGGACCGTTCGAGGTGGAAAAGTGAAGTCCGAGACACCCCCGGGTCCCAAAGGAAGGTGGTGGCCTGCAGCGTCTATCCGTGCCACCCCCACGCCCCCGCCCCTCCGCAGCACGCGGGACCCTCCACGCGATTTGCCTTCCCTGGGTTCCTGAGAACCTTGATGCGGGAGCTCGGGGGCTCGGGGAGGTGGAGGTCCGAGAAACAGAGTCCCCGGGAGTCGGGAGTCGGCCGAGGGGGTCCCTCTTTAGTGCGAAACTGAGCCTGGGTAAGGTCCTGGCAGTGCTGTGTCCAGGGAAGAAGGTGTGAGGCTGTAGGTACAGGGAGAGGAGAAGGGTGCTGCTCTTTGCCCTAAAGAGGACACCCAAGTGATGGCGAGATGTTTTCTTGGCAGCGGTACAAGTGGCGGGGAAGGTCCTGCTGGCGTGTGAAGGCAACCCCAGCGACTAGAGATCCGCGTTTACAGTCCTTCACTGTAAGCAGAGGACTTTTTGCCGGTGCTTCAGGTGCAAGATCTCATGTGGTGCTCAGGATGGCCCCTTGGGGTCGCTGCCTCTGTCCCCCTTTACAGTGAGTATCCCAGGTGACCAGCTCCCTCCAGAGGGCATGCAGAGGCGGAAGGACTGCAGGAAACCCGGGTCCCTCCACCAGGCACGCTTTTTCTCATCGCCTTGATGTGGATGGACCAGGATCCGGGGATCTCACGAAATTATCAAGACCAGGAGACTAGTCCCCCGCAGGAGGCCCCACCCCGGAAATCAGGAAAATTCGGGCCAGGCATTGGTCTATTTTAGAAGTGCCCCAAAGACTCCACTGGATCTCAGAGATTCCAACGCTGCTGCCCCATGTTGTTACATGTGCGCTAGGATTAGAATTTGAGGCATTTCCATTTTCTTTAGTCAGTATTAGGCTGAACTACATGAAGTTGACATCTTTGTAAAAGGTACAAACTGGTCACATGACTCTTCAATGTTTCAATCTGATAGTTGTAGAGGACAATGCCTCTGGTCTTTTCCTAGGGTAGGGGCACTTTCCACCCCTTGTCCCCAATAACTTACACCAAAGGCCCTCAGCAAACAGGAGACCACCTGGTCCCTCCTGGAGTAGCCTCCCCAGGAGAGGCATCTCCTCTGTGAAGCTTCCTGGCTCTTTCTGGCACAGCTGGTTCCTTTCTCCCAAGTCTACAATCTTCCATGAAAGCACGTACTCTCCTATCTGTAGCCCCGTTTTCTGTTCATTTGTTTTCCTCTCCTCTCTGAGCTAAAGCCACTGGAGAGCAGCAACTAGCTCCGGGAAGATCTCCTGAAATCCTTGCTTGTCGCTGACTTGGTAAAGAACCATCTTCCATCATCAGGTCCCCTGCTCATCTCCAAATAGTAGCAAAGTCTGCGAGATCTTTCTTTTCCAGTACCAGACATAGATTCTCTTGTTCAAGAGTGTAGTGTATTTTTATATCCTAATGATTTCATGAAAACAAAACTGAATAATATCTAAAAATGATCAAACTACATGAAAACGAAAGGAGTATGATAAAGTTATCTGGATGCAAAGTTCACAAATAAATAGCACCATATTGCACCTGTTTTGTCTCTCCACTCTTCTCTCACTCAAAAAATTTCATTGAGAGGATTGGCATCAGTTGCTTTCAAAATAGCCTGAAAGCATTTATATTAGGGTTTGGATGGAAAGAGGTTTGCTCGTGTTGATGGTACCCTTTGCTTACTGCCACACGTGCTAGTCCTACCTAATAAAGTACCCAGACGTACTTCACATGTCATTCTCGGTTCTGTCATCCTGGACTCCCCATGGCATCTTGGAAAGCAGATTTTATTGCCCTTGTTTTGTTGATGCAGAAGCAGAGACCTAGATTTGCTCCAGAGCAGGCCCCAGGTTACAGAGGGGTCACACCAGAGTTTGCAGGGAGTGTGGGGCCTCACTCATACCCACCGTTAAACCCTGGGAGGGGCAAGAGTCCATAACTGTTCTTGTCAGTGATGCACGTTTAACTGCTAATACTATGTTAATACTCTCTTCCATTTGCCAGATTGGAAGGAGAAGGCCTGCAAATGGGCAGTTTGCAGGCAGAGATAACAGGGAGGTTATCTGAGATACAATGAAGTGTTAGCACCCTGTGCTCTCGGTGGGTGTCATGAGTTGAATTGTGTCCCCTCCAAAATTCACATGCTGAAGTCCTAACCCCCAGCACCTCATAACAAGACCTTACCTGGAATTAGGGTTATTGCAGATGTTATTAGTTAACATGAGGTCACACTGGAGTAGTGTGGCTCCTCACCTTTATAAGGACTGGTGTCCTTATACAAAAGGGGAACTTTAGACACAGACACGTACTCAGGGAGAATGCCATGTGAAGACTGGAGTGACGCTGCCACGGCCAAGGAACCACCAGAAGCCAGGAGGGAGGCCTGCCACAGATTCTTCTGAGAAACCAACCCTGCTAGCACTTTGGCCTGGGACTTACAGCCTCCAGGACTGTGAAAGAATAAATGTCTGTTGTTTAAGCCACACAGTCTGCAGTACTTTGTTATAGCAGCCTGGACTGCACAGATTCTTCTGAGAAACCAACCCTGCTAGCACTTTGGCCTGGGACTTACAGCCTCCAGGACTGTGAAGGAATAAATGTCTGTTGTTTAAGCCACACAGTCTGCAGTACTTTGTTATAGCAGCCTGGACTGACCGATGCACCTCGCATATGGTCTGTCCTGGATAGTATTCCATGCTGCAGTGGGTAAATATTGAACAACAGCCAAGGATCTGCGAGGATCACAGTGAGACAGTCTGCTCTTCTGGGAGCACCCACCTCCCCCACCACAGGCCAGAAAACAGAGAGACACATTGTGTCTGCATGTCTGGGGAACAAGATTTCAGTCACTGCCTGGTAACCACAGATACACCTCCCTTTCCATAAGTACAAATTCATAGGACAATTTGGGCCTGCTTGTTCACGTGGGGGTGGGGAGGCGGGCTCATAGTCCTATTCTTCTTTAGTACCAAAGGCTAGTGCCTCGTTCAAGACAGGAGTATGGTTCTTCTTGCTGCAGTCACACTGCCCGGCATCCCTGGGCTTTTCACCCTTCATCAATCTCTCCTGTCCATCTTTGCATTGGAGCTTCACAACTGCCAAGGACCCTGGCCTTTGGAGAAACTACATGGATTGCCAGGATCATGGGAGTGCTGTGGGGTGGGCCCAGCCGGGAGCCTCAGCCCATGTCTAGCTCATGGCCACCGCAGCAGGGACCACATGGTATCATGGATAAAAGAGTGTGGACCCCTGAGTTGTTCTTGCTGGGCTAATGTCTCAGCATTACCCTGCCTGCTGTGTAATTTTGAGCAAGTTACTCAACCTCTCTGTGCTTCATCTCCCCCACTGTGGATTGGGGATTCAGTGCTTATCTCCCAGGGTTATTAGAAGGAAGGCCCACATGCACATAAAGCCCGCAAGTGTCATTCAAACTCCTGAAATAAATGTATTGATTTAGGGGCTCTGGACATTGACTATAATAGCCAGAGAAGTCAGCTAACCCAGCTGGAACTGAGGGGAAGGGGTCCTCGAGGTAAAAGCAGGTGCTGCATTGGGATGAGGGGATGGGCAATGAATCAGCAGACACCCACTATGCGCAAGGCAGCAGGTCTGGTCTCACTGCTGTGGCCATTGAGCGTCACCGGTCCTGTACTGCGGGATGTTCCCTTGCGTCTCTGGAAGAAGACTGAATGGGAGGTGACTGCAGCTTCGAACTTAGCGTTCTCGAGACCGGGCCAGGGTCTCGGGCTGGCCTATGACACGCCAGGCATCAGATAAACATCTGACTACATGTCCCCGTTTGCAGAGAGAGCCAGCCAGAGGGAGGAAGTTTGCGTATTGTCCTTGTCTCTTAGGATTTGGTATTGAGCAGAGCAAGCATGGCCCCTCCATCAGGACTTCTGCCTGGGAGGGAGAGGCAGATGCTAATCCAGTCATCCTAAATATGTGATCCTAAATGCGACCAGGGCCGCAAGGGCTTGGGCATGGCTTGGGCGTGGCTTGGGCGTGACTGTCCAGGTGGCACCTAGTCAGCACCTGCCCCTCCCACTGCTGTCTGAGACG